ACAAAAAACTATAGGCGACGAGTCAGATGACGCCAAGCCCGTTCAGAACGACTTGAACGACGCAGTCGGCAGTGCTAGTGGTGAGGACGACGACTACATCGAGGACGCTGCTCAAGCAGCTGACGATGTAAGTATATGAATTGATCATTAGGAAACCGCTAACTTTAAATAGTCCGATGACGGCGACTTCAAGCTCGATGGCTATGAGGATCTCGGCATCCCGGAAGACGAGGACGAGGTAGAGGTAGAGGTAGACGACTACGATCCTGAGTACGACGACAACATGACCGGTCAGAAGCGCAAGCGTGTCCGAACCAATAACGCCTCCAAGACCAAGGGTCTTCAGCGGTCCGTCATTGGTGTCCCAACTGGCGACGCTGAAGCTTTCATATTGGATGAAGACAACAGCTTCCTCTACAGCAAGCCTTCGCGCAAGCCCGGTACTTTTGGCCGCCATGACCGTCGCAAGGGCGAGAGTCTTCCAGCTTATCACAAGCGTGTCACTCACGAGTTGGACTCTGACGACGAACTCATGATGACGATGCGTGAGAAGGGCTTCAGTGACCGCCAGATCGCCGACAAACTCGCCAAAGATGGTCGTGTTCGTTACGACCAGAAGTCCATCTCCACGCGTATCATGCGCATCCGCCTTGCTCAGTGTGAGAACGTCGACTTCCTTCTGAAGGAGGGATACAAGGAGTGGGAATACGCTGATGTAAGTTCCTCATCGAGTGACACCCCCTTTATGATTTGACTAATTTGAACTTTTAGGATGAACTTCTGATTCAGTCTTACGCACTTGCCGACATCGAGGTCAACTACGAGTTGGAGCGCATTCGCGCCTGGCGCTTCCGCAAAGTCTCCGATTACATGCGTCGCCTGAACAAGAACGCACTCTTCTCTGCCAAGGCCTGCCGTAACCGTTACAATGAACTTGTCGAAGGCACAGCCCGCATTCCTACCGATATGGACGACGACCCCGACGCCCGCCGTATGGAGATGGAAGAGTTCCGCATGATGCGTGAGAAGACCCGTATCAAGGAGCAAGCCGACAAGGACGCCCTGGAAGCTGCGGAGGCTAAGATCAAGAACGATGCCAGGGTGCTCAACGCTCAGAAGGCAGAGGAGATCGCCGAGAAGCGCCAGGCCAAAGAGCAAGCAAAGGCTCATCGCGCCATGACCCGTGCAGCCCAAGCTCAGATCCGCCTTGCCCGAGCCAACGCGAATAGGATCTCGAAGACTCAGCGCAACACCCAGATCAAGACCAAGGGCAAAGCCCAGGAAACAAAGAAGAACGAGGACGCCTCTCCGGCCCCGACCAAGACCAAGACTAAGAAAGTAGACCCCAACTACACCGATCCGCGTTCTTACCTCTCCTTCCTTGATCTGAAGAAGATTTGTGAGAGTCGTGGTATTGATCTTCCGCGTAGGGTGGACAAGGACACCCTGCTGCAGGCTATAGTTGATGCTGATGATGAGTACAACCAGAATGAGCTCAAGAAGATGTGTCGCTCCAAAGGCTTGAATGCCAACACCAGTAAGCTGGTGATGAAACAGTCGCTGGCTTTGGCTTCGGCAAAGGCTTGTGACTCGTACGATACAGGAGTTGCCGCTGCCAATGGCACTGCCATTGCTACTGTTGAGGACGACGGTGACGATGAGATGGACATGGAGGAGGAGTAGGTGGGGGCGAGGCGACTTCACGGTATTGGAGGTGGGGGAAGGTGGGACTAAAAGTGGATTGACTCACGTCACGGCGGACTATGCATGCACTGCCTGAGCACAGTGGATGGGATGTATGCCTCAGGGTGGGATGAAAAGTGGAAGTTCACGGCTAGATAAAGGTACTTATTCTCCAGGCAATGAGATCATCATGGAACGAACTCTTTCATAAAGATTAGACTATGTGAACATTGTGAAACCTCTACCAACACTCCCACTTCTGACCACCCATAGCCACCAGCCGATTGAACAGCTCGTCTCTCAACGGAAGCGCCATTATGCGGTATTCGTTGAGCTGCCTGTCAGTAATGATTAATCCATCAGCGACCTCGCGTCCCATAGCCCAACCAACAACCAGCTTCGCCTTCCAGCCAAAGCCACCGACCTTCTTCATCTCCATGATTTCTCCGACAGGTAAACTCCAGGACGGGTGCAGATCCTCCCTATCTGCGCTACCAATCTTTTCGATAGTCTTGTCTGTGGAAAAGGCGATAGATGGAATCGTTGATTTGGTAGCGATGTACACATGTCCTTTCTTGCCATCATGTCGTGCTTTGAATTCGACTGGACCGGATGTGAGATCAACTCCCCTACGTGGTACAGCACCCAGTCTGTTCTTGGCATGGGTGGAGCCGGCGGCAGCCTTGACTTTGTCGGCTGTCATGGTGGTCTCGACGCCGCCCTTGACGGTGCCGCGGAAGAAGTTGAGGATCTTAGTTCCCTTCTTGCCGTGTTTGCTGTCTTTAGCTTGGTCGATATCTTCGCCGCCGGTCTCGTGGGCAGTAGTAGGGTCGTGAGCCATGGCTTCATCGAGTTCTTCTTGTGTTGCGTTCAGTGGCCAGTCGGCACCTGTGGCGCGCAGCTCTTCCTCGTTGATATCGACGGGCTTCTCTTCTGGTGCTTGCGCTACGTGAGGCGGCGGTGGCAAAGGGGCTTTATTTGCTTCGCCGAGTCTAAGAAGAGTAACGGTGAGTTGGGCGTTGGTAGGGACACCCTTGAGTAGCGTATTACGGAGCTCGAGCAGCTTTTGCCAGTTGGGAAACTTCTTGTTAAGCAGCGCTAGTCCTCGCTGTATGACAGGGTCACCGAAGAATCCAAAGCCGGCGCCGAATGTGACCCCCTTCATGAACATATACGATGTCACAAACAGTGAGACGAGAACAAGCGGTGCTACTACGACTGCGAGTCGAAGATGAGACCTGTTCTTCGGGAATGGCGGGGTTGGTTCAAGCATACTGTGATTATGTCAGTAATTTCAGGTAAACGCTGATAGACGGTTGCTTACTTCGCGAACCGCTCCCATGTGTCTGTGACATCTGCGATACCGTGCATAATAGGCCTCATTTTCGTCCACATGGCAGTCTCCATGGGAACTTTAGTCTTGTCGTGGTGCTTGCTGGGCTTGGCACCAGCAGCCTGATCCCTTGCATCTGCAGCACCGATGGCGAGCCTAGTAGGGTCCGGTACACTGCTGTCAGGAGAGTCTTCATCTGGAGGCTCTCCCTGTGGGTGCTTGCCAGTCGCGCTCGAAAGCGCTATCGACGCAAAGCCGTTGACAAAGTTCGAGGCCTCTTGCTCAACAGCCTCACCCTTGTGATTCTCAGGTGCTCCAGTAGCACTGTCTGTACTGCCTAGAGTTCCAGACTTCGGCTTCTGTACGCCTCCCGTAGAGCTGACAAGAGCGATGGGTGCTGGTGGGAACATGGCACCGCGAGCCGGGGGGTAGACAATGAGCGTAACCAAAGTCACCGTTATCAAGGGTACGATCATGTCGAAGATCCAGGCGGCAAAGTATGCGGAGCAGAACCATGCAGTGCGCCGCGTCTCTCTCCATGAGCGGATGCGGACGATGTGCTTGCCGAATCCAATTAGACCGATACCCTATGCGCGGTTAAATTAAGCGCGTTCGTTGCTTACTCTCCAAATGCTTACTATAGTCATATACAAGCGTTCGATATTGGCGCGCAGCTTGTCTGGCGAGAACTCTTCCTCATCCGCGATGTTCATATCCAAGCCCCCAGGAGGCGCTGTTGGAATCTCTTTGACATGGTACATTTGCTACTCACTGTCAGTACCACATTGTAGGGTTGTAGTTACACCTTGCCTCACCTTATTGAAACGTCGGACCAACAGCCACAGGTCTTCATTACCCAGACCCCCGACAAGCGGCTTCGCGACGAGTTCCTTTGGCTCATTCCATCCAAGGTCCACCACTTCATCACCGTGAGCTATCTGCGCTGCACCCTTCTCTTCCGGAGGCGCTGACTTAGCAGCCTCTAGAGCTAGCGCATGGCTCTCCGTAGGCGCATTCCGTAGCGTGGTAGACTTCCCCTCATGTTCTGTAGGGTCTGTATCCGGGATAGGCAGGAGGTCCTTGTAGACCACACCTCCGGTCGACATGTTGACGTTCAATATTAGGCGTCAGATGTGCGTAGGTGTGAATGTATCGAGGTCAAAGGGTAAAGAGTGGAGGGTAGCCTTGCAATGTATTGGCCTTCACACGGCAAGAAAGACGCGTAGGGCCGCAATTGCCCTCTACGTCATAAACGCACTAACGAGTGGACGGCAAGCCACACGCATCAGTGGCGATCAGAAGCCGCGCGACGCTAGATTAAACTCCTAACTTGAACACCGTTGAGGCTCGTAACCGTGCGCTAAATGCTAGCAATCAAGTATTCATCGTGCCTCTACATGCACCTCATCGCGTTGTCTTGATGCTTTCCCACAGTCTGGGTGAACGTGTGGAGCTGACAGGATCTATGGTTTCCAGGACCGCGGACAGCGATCATGATCGCCAAACCCCACCACATCTGGCCTCCCGTGTTTTCCCTGCTTCGATCCTTTCCAAATCAGGTGCGCCATGCCTTTCCAGGCCCAAGGCATGCCAAAAAGGTGGCTCGAAGCAATTTTGCGATGACTGGAAAGAAGTGCCGTATTGCGCGCCAACAGAGGTGTGGACGTGTGACGTCATCGATCGCTTCGCACCATGCAGTGGAGCAGCACGAGCGGACGCATAGCAGAAATAGCTTTCACTGTCTGTACCACATGGTTTGTGTGTAATAGCTAATGCTTTGAAATTGATTCATGATTTCCTTGTTTAAGGCCAGAAGAGATCATCAAAGAGCACCACGAGAGAGACACTGCACATGACCCGTGATCGGAGAGTGGTTAAAGAAGCGAGGCATATGACTAACGGCCGCGCTAGATGTCTATAACTACGTGACAGCGAACATTAATGTCTGGTGGTGGGAAGCGACACTCATGCGCAACATTATCGATTATGATTTCCTAAACGTGTTTATCAGGCCTTGCTCGTACGTTACCGTGGTCGAAACCATGATGCCATCATGCTTCGCTCTCAATTCCTCCTGGCTACTATGTGCGCCAGCCCAGTGTAACTCCGCCAATTCCTGCTCAAAGACTGGCTTTGAAGGCCTGTTGTTTCCACTAGGTCGGAGCTCCAATCTACTCCCCCTGCTTCTGTCCACGAAGCCATCAGTCTGTCTTCGGTAGCCGCGCGAATCGTAAGAGGTATTGAAGCGGAAAGCGTTGAGAAGAACGGCGAATGCGGGGCAGCAGCCAATCATGACAGCTGGAAAACGATTAGTGATTGTATGTAATGGTTTTGGAGTGTCGACATACCAATGGAACACTCCACCATGCCCCAGATAGCGAGCCAAGTGGGATCAAGTGGTTGGCCTGCAGCCTCGGGCTTTGATGCGTTGATCGCAACTTGAGTGACTCGGAGACAGGCGAAGAGGATACAAACGACACCCGTTGCGAAGAGACACAAGATCGATATCTTCTTGCTTCGTGGCATTTGGAGATTCCAGGTGAGCCATGTTGGAAGTGCCATAACTGTGTGAGTCGACAGTCAGTAGGTAGAGTAGAGTTGTTTAGGCGCTACATGACATACTCATCATATTTGTTGAAGTATCTGCGGCAAAGGAGTAGTACAGGCTGACGAGCTGGGTATGGTGCGGACCTTCGCCAGTCTAGAGCAAGATGTGGTTAGTAGGCAGCCCAGTAAGTATCGTGTGCACAACAAGGACTTACGCATCCTCCTGTCCAGAAGCCCGGTATAGTACCGCATGACTGAAAGTAGAAAACGTAATTGCCAGCAAAAGTCTGTCTCCAACGTCAGCCGTCGTCCAAGTGAGTGCTACCAAAGTCTGCACAACTGTGGTATCTTACCACTAAGCAGATTCCAGCTATGCACCACCACACAAAGGTCCAGCGCGGAGATATGCCATTCAATAATCTCCGATAAAGCAGCAGCAAAGATAGTTTGATAGACCACAGCACTGCCCAAAACATGCAGAAGGCAATGAACACCATCTTCGCCATCATCATGCTATCATGCCGCAAGTCTGGATAAGGCGGGATTTCTCGATTCGAGACGGCATATACTCTCTGCATATAGGGAGATAATGCAATGTAGAGAGCGCACATCGTCACATAAATGGCGAAGGCGACAAATACAAAGTAGTCAGAGGCTGTCAGCCTTCTCGGCCGGATGATGTTGAGACCAATCCTCGCAAGGACAACTGAGCTGGTCAAGCCAAGCATAGAGTATGCGACCTTTAGCACTGTTCCCTGGGCGAAACCGTTCGTTTTTGCCGACATCGTTGCTGATATGGTGTGAACCGGAAGTAAACAAAGATACAATGGAGAGTATCGGTCATTGATTGTCGGAACAAGCCCCGAGACGTGATAGTTATTCGATATCATTGTCGTGTCAGTGCATGCGAGCATGCGGCGTAAGACCACCCTCAGGTTTCGTGTCTACCGGCATTGGGGATCACATTGACCAAAGGGCCATGACCAATTTCCAGCACCGGATCTACAATCGCTGATTGCTTGATCGTATTCAGGGGTAGGCAGGGCTATCCAAGATCTTGCTGTTGTAAATTTAGTATACCTCCCTCGAACTTGCTCTTGCATGTTGACAGCAGCGTGGACTTGTCCATGACCGAGTTAATAAGGTTGGTGAATTCTGGAAGAACGACGCAGAGTAAGAGCCATGCACCAAAGATACACGTTCCCCTCCTGTACAAGAGTAGGATAAGATGGATAGCGCACAAGACTCTCTGTGGATGAATAGTGGCACTGGAGATGTCGCTTGCGCCTGCCGAATTCCGTGCCGTCGCTGTTCTACTCGCCTGCCTCCGGAGCATAAAACGCTCCTATGACACTGCGGTTCGTTTCGCTTGCAGCAGATCAAGATGCAGGTGTTATCGGGTAGAGCAATCCCTTTGCCAAGACAATGGATGAGTTGACGCGGAGTGGCGTGCAGGTGCCACCAGGCACAGTGTTGGAGGGCGCGGCGCGATCTAGCGCTTATTCAGCATCCGTGCGGCCCACTCTCCCCGAAACATGGGCGTGACGGGCTGGCAGGAAGGGTCGCCCTTCAACTTTCATCTGGTCTACAATGTACTACCCACCTTCTTTCGATAGGCACGCTACCTGTGCGCAACAATCAGAGCGCCAGGTCGGATTGAAGCCGGCGATTTGAGCACCAATTACCTAGGACGCGTAGAGGGTGCTTCATCTACCACATTGCATCTCGCTTCCATTCATGCTTAACTAGGTACAGACACCAAGGACTCCATCGCGTACGCGAGAATGGACTCGCATCTGCGTGTTCCATCGCACAAGCTCCTGCACATGCGCGTACCTGCACGCGACTCTTCTTGAGCCAATGCTCCGAGATTGAAGTATGCTCATTCGCCTCAGGCAGCGCCACCTCTTCGATGCAGGTTCCACGGCAGAACCGAATTGCGGCGCGGTATGCGGCTAAGCATCGTTTTCATACTGCGGCGCTTCTAGACAACAAATTGTGATCCTTCGGATTCCCTTGAAGTCGCAAAGCGCAAGGAGACGTCTGCCCAGGTAAGGTTGCTAAACGACGCGCAGAATCAATGTCTTTCCAGCAATAAATAGCTCTGGAAAGCTCCAGCTTCTTTCCACCGAACCTCCAATCCAAGCCCAACATGAAGGCTTCGTTCCTTGCCATATCTGGAGCCCTCGCTGGCAACGCAGTCGCCCAGGACGCCTTCGAGCCTACTGACTTCAACGTCACGGAAGCCCTCCTCGCCAATGGCGTCAATGTCTCTGCTCTTCCCGACTTGGCTGCTTTGGTCGGGAAGCGCTCACTCTCTAGTCCGTGTACCGCCGCTGTAAGGAACCTGTAACGCCATTTTTGTAGGAGACTCCAGCTAACATGCTCAACAGTGTAGCTCACTAAAGCTCATCTTCGGAAGCAAGCTACTTTCTAGCGGTTCAGAATCCTACGATACCTTCACGAGCGGATACTGGTCCAACCAGGCAGCCTCTGTCAACCCAGCCTGCGTTTTCCGGCCTTCGAAGGCGATCGACGTATCGACGACGATATTAGTATCCCGTCTCACACAATGTCCCTTTGCAGTCAAGGGTGGAGGACACACCGCGTTCCCGGGCGCGTCTAGCATTGAGGGTGGCATAACCATTACCATGGAGGCGATGAACGAGATCACACTTTCCAGCAACAAAAAGACTGCATTCATCGGACCCGGAAACCGATGGGGGGCGGTATATACAAAGCTTGGAGAGCACAACCTCGCTGTCGTTGGTGGGCGCGCATCGGATGTAGGCCTCGGTCTTGTTCTTGGTGGCGGCATCTCCCACCAGTCTAGTATCTACGGATACGCATGCGATAATGTTGCGTCTTACGAGGTTGTAACTGCATCGGGAATCATCTCGAAGGTCACGCCAACTCTGTTCCCTGATTTGTATTGGGCCCTTCGCGGAGGCGGCAACAACTTCGGTGTCGTTACAAGATTTGAGCTGGAGACAATTCCCCAGGGGTTGATGTGGGGCGGCACCCGAGTTCATACGCAGGCCAGCTACCCAGCGCTAATCGATGCCTTTGCATCAATGGCTGAGGGCGCTACCGAAGACCCCAAATCAGCCCAGATCTTGTCATTTGCTGTGACAGCGGGCAACGCGGCGGCCCAAATCCAACTGGAGTACCTCGAGCCCGTTGACGAAACCAACCCACCTGCTATTCTTAAGAAGTACCTTGACATCCCTCCACTCATGGCGAATACTTTGAACAGAACCTTGGCAAACGATACGGTCATGCTCACCAACCAAATGCCCGGAGGCCGTCGCTATGCATTCTGGGCAGCCACATACAAGCTCGATAGGGAGTTCATGGCCTGGCTGCAAGCGCGTCACGAAAAGGACGTAGGCCCGCTAGCGGACCAGGGCGCTCTGGCGTTTCAAGCCTTCACCGTGCCGGCTATGGAGCAGATGAGCAAGAAGGGCGGCAACGCACTTGGTCTCTCCCCCGCCGACGGTCCACTCATGCATACTCTGCTTTACGTGGTCTGGGACGACGCGGCCAAGGATAAACAGCTAAACAAAGCCGCACTGGATTTGATGAACGCCGCCAAGGCTGAGGCGAAAGATCGGAATTTGTACACCGAGTTCATCTACCTCAACTATGCTGGACCGTACCAGAACGTGATTCCGAGCTACGGAGACGAGAAGCTGGCAAAGCTCAAGTCGATTGCGAAGAAGTACGATCCCGCTGCTGTCTTTCAAAAGCTGCAGCCTGGTGGGTTCAAGCTTGAGGGTGCGCCCTACGGGGAGACTATCTAGACGTAAAGCTGCCTCGTAGATTCAATCAATTGCGAAACACCTTGAGCGAACGAATAAGTTTGTGGATTGAAGCGTGATGCGATATATTCGATAGGACGTACACGTGATGTGCGCCCAATACGAACGGCCTTTCGTCCGGGTATTACATTCGCGCTCAGCTGCGACCCATCGCTGTGCTAAGCCATCAATTCTGCAGCATGCCAGCTCGTTATCATCTGCCAAGTTGGGCTATCGTCCAAAGCCAGGCAACTCTTGAGGTCTAATTGGAACACCAGGCAATTCCACCGGCCTTTGCGGGACCGGAGCCTCATGTAGGAAAACATCCTTGGTAGGAGCTTCGTGCCTATACTCTGATGACAATTCTGCTTTGACTGGCTCGTAGTAGGTTGTCGTCTCTGCAGTTTCCTTTTTCTTCTTATATGACCGTCTTCCGATAAAAGCACCCAAAGCAAGCAGCGCGATGACACCGAAAGCAGCACCCACACCAATCCCGGCTTTCGCGCCTGTCGAGAGGCCACCACTGTCGTCATTCGGTGGTGTTGTAGTGGACGATGGGGTTGGAGTGCTCGAGGAACTGGACGAGCTCAATGGAGCCGAGGTGCTTGTAGACGACGCGATCGAAGACATCGAAGAACTCGAGATGATGCCCAGGAACACACGATCGACTTTCTCCTTCCCGAAACTAGCATCGTCACCACAGCAAGCGGTTGAGTTGCCACAGCACCAGTACTCAGACGAATCGGTACCATCACAGGGAGTGACATTCACGTCTCCACTTCTTTGATTTGGCTGTGTGTCGATGTAAGCTTTCATAAAGTCAAGGTGTAGGGCGCGATCGTACTGTATTCGTACATAGTTCCTGGCAGCCTCCGGCCTCCCAGTCCGACAATGTACAGGACTCTCTAAAATAGATGAAGTTATTGTCTCCAGTGCTAGCCCTGCAGAGGCCGTTCGGAAGACATGTATCCCAGCCTCCCTCGTTATTGACCACGTTGATGTTGCAACAGATGTGGCTGAGCGGGTCTGAAGTGTCGTTGGAGCAGGGCTGGTACTGGGGATTTGGTTGCCCGCCGTCGCGCCAATAACATGATTGCGCATAGACTACTGTGATGGAGGAAGAAAGAAGGAGAGCTTTTGAGAACATCCTGTACTAAGGTTGAGATCAGAAAGATCTGCAAGGCGGAGGAGCAGACGCATGGCCATCCTAGTGTGAGGGGGGACCGAGGTTGGTTATAACGGGATTACCGCTGGCAGGTGATTCTATACTTATTAAGTTAGTTGGCGGAGGATCTTTGGGGCCAGGCGTTTATCTCATCTTAGAGCCTGTCGTGGCTGTGTAACGCGTGCGGTGAGTGGTTGCCAAGCGATAGGGCGAAACCTGGGCAATTTGGGGGCGGAAAACCCGCGTTGGCGGCTCCAAAAAAAAACGGTCTTTTTGACAAAAACATACAACAGCGCGTATTCCCCGGTGGTCACCCACCCGAGTACTAATGCGCCGGTATCTTGCTTAAGTACCGCTGAGCGAACGGGAAGCGCTGGTGTCAAGATCCTGTGGTCGTATGTGACAGATCTGGCTGTTTTTCATATTATAGACTGACTGGGTGCATCGAGATCGCCAAAACGCCGTGGTACAGCCGTAAGATCCATAGCCCGAGAAAACCGTCCGTACCTCAACAGAGCATGTACTTAGAAACTACTCTCCTCGGATCTCTTGCTTCCATTTGAGCCAGGGCTTCGCCGTGCATGTACCCGTCGATATAGACGTCACCCACGTACCTATACTCGTTGCGACGGCCCTCCGGGCGGAGCAGGATAGGTGTGGAACAACCAAACGGAACGACAACAACATCTTCTGCTTTCATGTAGCCCGAACCCATACCAATCAAGCCGCCTTCTGTAATACACAGGCTACGTCCCATCATACGGTTACCGAGATGGTCTTGCAAGAACGTGCGCCGTAGTTTGGGCTCAATGAGCCCCGTTGTGCTCACGTGACGTTCAAGGTCTTTGTCCAGTGGTAGGCGAGGCATTCTTTCGCGAATAAGAGCTGCGAAGACGTGGTAACAGAGGCCGTGCCACATGCCTGACTGGCTCCATTCTAGCGGCACTTGTCCAAGACATAGCGTCCTACAGAAAGAGCTGTGAATTGGATCGGTATCATTGCCTTCTCCCACATTTAGTTCATGCAGCAGCATTGCGCGCCATTGTAGAAAGGCTGTCAGGTAGTCTTGAGCAGAACAGAACGTGCCTACAGCAACACCTGTTGCAATGATTGTGTCGATCCTGATTGCGGAGATTTCGAGCTTTCGCCGTTCATCGTGAAACCAATACTGAGCCTTAGTAGGGCCATTTACGTTACTGGAAGCTGCAAAGTTGAGAGTACGCCCGAGGCCAGACACCTCTGGGATGTGCGACCAATCAGGGCACCAGCTGGGGAGACCTGTAGAATTGACGTGCAGGGGGAAGTGTATTGCTTCGCGGATCACATCGAGCTTTTCAGTAGTCGAGATCAGGTGGTCGACCACATCTGTGTAGACCGTCTTGACTGACTGACTGTAGTCGACTGGGAAAAAGCGTTGTGTAGCGTCCGAAAGCAGACCCAGAATGCCGAAAACTTTGTCGCGGGGATTCTCGCTCAGCTTCTTCCTGCATGCTCGCATTACCTCTAATAGTGACTCATCTCCAATTTGCTCTAGGGTTTCGCGGTCTGGGAAGCTGGTTGGTCCTTGGCGGTTATGCGGGTCGCTCTCTTGGTCCCAGAAGATTTCCCCGGCCTTCAAGTATATTTCCCAGGGAAACACTGAATGCCCGCAATATACCAACTTGTTATGCCCGAGAAGCACCTCTTGAACGACTTAATCCTGGTCAGTACGAATCATTGACATATTGCAGCGTGGCTAGTTACCCCATAGCCGCTTCCAGTAATCTCTCTTGAATAAATTCAAGAGCGCCAGAGAGTCTGGGTTGCGGGTGGACCTGATATGTTGCGAGTCGATCGAATTTTCTGCCACACTGTGCAGTAGTTCTAGTGCCAATGCACTCTCATCATGCTCCGGTCCTATCCAAATGGCTACTGACACTGCACCGCTGTAGATCTGACCCATCAATCGAACTTGTGTAGCTCTCTCGTCTCTGTTCTGCTGGTCGATGCAGAGCGCATCAACCCATACAAAGATGTCTTCTTTCTTGCGACGGACCGCCCTCAGCGCATCGTAAAGACTGACAGCAACAGGTATTGCAGCCCCCTCTACGATGAGGGATGTCGTGTCAATCCCGTCGCCCCAAGCATACTTTGCAAGCTCGATGTTAGTGGATGTTGCCAGACTGTGGCAATGACTTACCGAGATAGCAGTGTACTCTGGCAGGCTTTGAAGCGATGTGTGAGTGATTTCACATCTTAGCTTCGACATCGTCTCAGGTAGGATCTTGACTAATCGAATTTCAGCAGGCTGTAGTGACTGATACTGGTATGTTTTCGGGCCCAGTATTCCGGAGCTAGGTGACGATGAGGCCCACGACCGGATCCTTGACGAGGGAGTTGAAGCTGCCGAAGCCGCTCGAGGTCTGTGCCAATCTTCGCCTACTCCTGATTTTGATTCGCCAGGAATCTCAGCATTGGGCCGGATTTGTGAATATGCGGTAGGATATGGGGAGATAGAAAGGCGTGGGAGCTTTGCATTCACGTTGAAAGCCCGATTGTGACCTGATGAAGACGGACGACTGTCAAGTTCATCTAGCCGAATGCGCGCCTGAGAAGTAGAGACTGAGGGGGGAATCGATGAACCAGATAACGTTTGTTTTGGTGCAGGATTATGGCGGCGCTCATCCAAGAAATCATCAAAACGGTGCTCGCCGCAACGTTCTTTGGTCGAGCGAGTTCTCTCGCGCTCAACTTCGATTATTACCGGCACCGAATCATCTTCGGTATCGCTAGATGAGTCTTGTTTGCGGCGATCGTGATCCTTTGGGTGGTGCGAAGAGCTGGCGCGATGTCGATTTTTGTCTCCGTCATGCCTATGTCGGCGCCTTGGTTCATCATCGGAACGATACCCTCGGATCGGTGGATCGTGTGTTCTCCCATTGTCACCCGAAGAAGTCTTGTGCCGCCTTCTGCGGGTTCGATCTGCGTCGGCGTCCTGGGGTGTAAGGTGGTGACCATGGTGGCGTTTCGAGTCGCGTTGGAGGCCAAACATCTCACTGGTGTGCGAAACAGCTGTATTGCGAAGCACAGGTATATTGATGTAGTCGTGTACTTATCCTAGGATCTGAGTAGTTATGGAGTATGAGTTTTGGATGGCATCAGGCTGAGCCTGGATAATGCGCGAACTGATGCCTTGGTGGGGTGATGAGTGCCACGGCTGCTCAGCCTCCGATCATCAGCCATTGTCAGCTCGCTTCAGCTGGCAGGGATTCGATTGCATGGCCTGGCGGGTATCTAGGTATACATTTGGATATATTGAGAACACTGAGGACTACCAGCCTCACAATGCTGTTGCAGTGTTAAGGTGCGCATTGGCGTTCGCGAGGAAGTCGCGACTACGAGTAGAAGTGGCGTGTTCTGCTGCCCGGAGTTATTTGGCCCATGGCTGCGCACCTGGGCCATGTTCAAGACTGCGCTCGTGAAGTTATGTAGCTTAGAGAGCAGGAGATGTCGTGCGGATAGGAGCGCCTATTGTATGTTCTTGAGCGGCCCTTCTCTTATGATTACTACAGTCCATGCTCAATGTGGGTCTAGCTGCGCTGTCATCGGCCCGCCGAATCGCCTGCGACCATCGTCGCGCTTCTCGCATGTCTCCTTATCGATAAGTGACGATTTCAAAACATCCATGGATACCTACAATACTCGCCATTACCTTTCATGCCGACTTACATCTTCGCACTCGGGTGTAATGCGCGTCTCTCTGCCACGTTTCCCAACTGTGCACCAATTGCCGCGATCCGGCGGCCGCCTTGGCCCCGCACTTTCGCGTACGCTCCTCAATCCAGCCTAGGAACGGTCAACAAAAGAACCGCCGCGACTGCGAGCGGAAACAACCCAACTCACAAGGATTCGTGAGTGGTAACATGATGTACGTAGCGCGATTGCTCCGACAACTCCGATAATAGTGGAGTTGAACAGGCCCTCATGGTAACCTTGGAAATTGTCTCGCCTCGCGATCCATCCCCGAAGCGATATAGCCATGGTAAACTAGGCGTTCTAGTTGGGTATACGCTCTTGTATAATCGATACATTCGGAAAGCCCTCGGTGGTGGCGTCCGGCTGGAATGCTGGCTTATGCATTCTACCGAGAAGCCCCGTGGAATGTACGCTCGTGGCAGTTAGAGCCAACAGGGCATTTAAATGAACTTATCGCTCCTTCCAACGGCTTTGGGTTGATGATTGAGATAGTGATATAAGAAGGTAGCATTCACTCCACAACATTTTGGACGTACCTTCATCATCACGACCAAATCTATACACCCACTATATTTCTTTCGTCTTTTACTGAAGCAGTATCAACCTTTCTCACATTACAAAAACCTCCAAGATGGTGCTCCCCTACTTCACCGCCCTCGTCTTCGGCACCATGCTCCCGGGCCTCAACCTAACCCAATACGCCGACCACTACGACAACGTCCACATCCCACTCGTCAAGTCGCTCACGGGCTCAAACTTCCCCGTCATCCACACACGATACTACGTTGGCGGTAACCCTGCCTTTGTAAACGCCAGCTCCCCCGTCGACTACGACTCCATGGCAACCATGCAGTTTCGAGACATGACGCATGCGTTGACGTTCATGAGCATCATCAGCGCACCGGAGGCGGCGAAGAAGATTGCGGAGGACGAGCATTTGTTTATGGCATGTGCACCGAGGACGGTGATTGTGGGGACAGATGGGAGTGTGACAGGGCCGTAGCGGGTGCAAAAGAAACGTGAATGGGGTATCGTGGCCATGATTAGGATTTGAAATACTGAATCATTACTACCATAAAGGTCAGGGCAAGATAAGCTAACGTGAAGACGTGAGACCACAAAGTTTTCCTTAGCCAAGGATTATAGTCTCCGGCTGGAAGTGATCCCACCAGCAGCAGTCTGGCATCGCAGTAGACGGAATTTCTGTTTCTGCGTAATAAGGTGAACCTTCTCTGAACTGTGGTCCAAAGATACGGTTGAACTTGTTCACGAGACCAAAGGTTGGAGTGTTATAGTTATCACAGTGCTCGCCAAAATTTGCGGGCAGTCGAGTGATACCTATTCGTTTGTAATGGTTTCCGTGTTGCTCAAGTATGAGAACATGAGCGTGCAACTTGTCCACGGTGGATTTGGTAAATTCTGCCCCGGGCAATAGAACACACTTCAACAACGTTTCGTTTCCCTTGTCCGGAGGAAGGTCCCAATACACCTCCGCGATAGCATTCCATCCATTACCCAGTGGTATTTCAATCCCTGATTGTTGCTTGCCATACCCCCTGTCCTGAGTTGCGAACTGGAAATTGCACATTGCGGTTCGTGCTTCTACTTTGAGGTACTGCGAGAGTTCTTCTGGTGTGTATTCGTCGGGGTTAGCTGGAGCATACAGCTTGTGGAAGTCCTTATTGGACTTTACTTGTACAATTTTTGCTTCCGGTGAGACGTAGGTTGACCGGCCGCGTATGCTCCGAAAGTACCATCGGATTGGGGTTTTCCATCCGAGGGGCGACCAACTGGGAAATCCGTTGCGGCGTATGCTTGGCTTTTCGTGATGCCACAATAATGCTATGTCGATATTTCGTCTAACACTGCGGCTAGTTGAGAGAAAGTTCTTTAAACCAGGTGAGTAGTCTGACGAGGAGCGTTTCCAAGGGACTCCCCAGATGTGCTGAACACCGTATCTGGCGTAAGAGTTCATCGCACCAGTTATGGCGTTGAGCGCATCTGCTTCGAAGGATAATTTGCGAGCGCTGTATTGCCTCAATACCTCCATTGACGCAATCATCGTGGCAGCCGCCTCGAGTTTTGCGGTGTTGGCAAACCACCCTGGTAGTTCCCGGTGAGCGTCCTCGGAGGGGCCGCCGCCGCCATGGGGTCTATCTGCCTCGTAGTAGGAGTCTGTGCCACAAATGAAGATGACTTGTCTGTCGGTGAAAAAGAGACGCCGTTTTGAGAAGTAACACTCTTGGAAGGTCCTGAACGCATAGTCAGCTCGTTATGAGCATGGTGTGATGACCGGACGTCTTACCACGCTCGCGAAGCCCACGAAGATGATGACAACTTTCGAAGGTTCCAGCTGGGCTTTGTTTGAGGTAAATGGTATAACCGCACAGATCTCGTGGATGCGCAATAGGAGGAGAAGCCCCGAGAGTGTGGCCGTACTCCAGGAAGCCCATGATTCGAGTCATTGCCAGCCGCAGCGAAGATGGTAAACTGCGCTGCTGCATATATATCTGCCATCTGCATAATTTGGTGTTGCTTCGCGTGTGCGTCGGACTGATCGATGCACTGAACATTTAGCAAACTGAAGCAGGGACTGCAAGGCACTGAGGTCTACCTACATATCGGTCGACCCAGAGGTATCTGTATCCCAATAATAAGGTTGTCTCAATAGCGTCTTCGACAGTTTTTGGGATCATCTCCCGGGTGTTGGTCGAGCCGACCTTCTTGCCTTCTTGGCCCCAGACATACGACAACGCTGCGTATCGACATGCAGGCGGCGCAGGAACGACCCTTCGATGCTCACAATCAATGACTTCTAAATCCTTCAGACCATCGGCCGGTCTTGGGCGACACTGATGGCCATGTTTTTCGATGCAGATATCCAGCCAAGACTTCAAGAGAGCAGCGTCAACGCCAGCTGGATATAGAGTTTGGCCAGTGTCTAGCAACGGCTTCTTCACCGTTGGTAGATCTTTAGGGATTGCATATCCAGAGAAGGCTTTCTCTAACACTTCTCGAGTCACCTGGGATGTTGGTTGGCAGGCGAGTACGATGCCACCGAAATGGTCGGCATGCTCGGGCGCCGAATGGTCGACTTCGAGAAACGCTGACGGAAGATCCAAGCCCAAACCAGCGGCATAATGAGGAGTTATCTCGAAGCGTCGTCCATTTTTGGTACCCAGGACGCAATCTTTGAGAACCTTTGCGAAGAATCGGCAGATTCGACACTCTGCTTTTTGGTCAACTTTGCTTCTGTGAAACACTAAATCATCCCAGACGTCGATTTCTGGCTCTAGACGGATCTCTGGGCCAAATAGCGTGTCCCAAGGTATTTTGGCACACTCATAGCATATCCGATGGCTGCGCTTGATGTCGTTTTTGGCGCAGGAACCCATTGCTAACAAGGCGTTGACTGCTTCCATCGTGGATCTGGTGATGTTCAGTATCGTGATCTCTGTTGGTACACCATTGGGCAAAAAATGGCAGGTTTCCGATAATTTATCGTCGCTCAAGCGCTATGTGATGTGAAGAGATGATGGACAAGGCTGAGGATAGAGGGGTAGAAGGCAGCAACCATGCAACTGTGCCACCCGAATGCAGCCCGACTTCTCAGCCCATGTTCAAGACTGAGCTCATGACCATATTTTCAACCCTGGTGGGCGTCAAGCTGTCGCGAGTAGACTCGTTGCGGGTACGCCATCTCGTTATAACTCGTAGTTACTCACGACGTCCAATTAGTGAGTTTACTTGTTCATAAGCCAAAGCATTGACGAACGAGCTTTCTCAAGCCCCACTCATGGCTGGGGCCCCGGTGGCTTGTCACCCTGCGTAGTGGGGGAGATTCGCTTGCGATGTAACGAGATGACGGCTGTCTGTGATCGGGCCGTAGCACAAGGGTCGCAGGTTGGGCAGCGGCTGCCTAACAAGAAGTCTAGATAGAGAATCAGCCATCGTATCTTTGCATCGAAATGTCACCTCGCTGTAAGATTGCGTAGCCGTAAGCAATGGAGTTGAGGCCTAGATGGTTCACTGACAAGGAAGTTGCCTTGACCCAGTTCCGAACCACCCGGGGCTGCTCCTGCCACACCAGCTAGCACGTGGGGACAGAAGTACCCCAAGATTCAAACGGTTAGCTCGCCGGAATCGCATCGTGAGAGCTGCTGGCTACTCCAAACCTCACACATGCCAATGAAAGAACAGGATAAGCTGCACGCAAGATGTCTCTCATTTTGCCTCTCCCTCCTCACATCCCCATCCATCACGCTATCTCCCTCTCCCCGCATTTCATCCAATTGTGTATATCATCCAGAACCCTCCATGACGCAAGTCAAGCAATCCAACACCCCCCTATCCAAACAAATCGAACATCTTTGTGATAGATCCAAAGTCTCGAAAGAAACACAAATCCAGTAAAAATATCCCGCGCCTGCCGTCATGCACTTCATTGCTCCGCAGAACGCCCAACAACGCCAGTTAGACTGCTCTTCGGAAGCCATGAAAACCTTTTGCAACGCCGAAAGTGGGGGAATAGAGAATGGTAGCCTCGAGAGATCTACGGGGGAGAACAACGGTTGTTGTAAAAGAAGAAGACCAAGAGCAATTAAATAGAATCGAAGTGAAGTGGGGTGAAGATGGCCGGTTCCGTTGCTTATCCGTTACTACGCTGTCGTGACTCTGAGCTCCAGAAACTTGGGGTTGGGGTTTTTTTCGATTGCGTCCTGTAGCTCTTTGTCATCTCTAATCGGCTGGGGGAATTCTATTATGTCGTCCCCATCGTCCTCGTACCCGTATTCGATCCAATGGATCCAAAGCTCCTTATGTGGCTCACCGGGGCACTCCAATTCTATTCTCCCGACAAGCTTCTTGTAGAGGTCGGCGAACTTGTGCGAATTGATACGTATGACGACGCAATCGTTTTTTCCGATCCAGGCCTTGATCTTGAGACCAGAAGACATGCCTGTGCTGGTGGCGGTGGAGGAGGAGGAGTGGGTGTGATTCATGGGTGGGGGGTTCAGATTCGATGAGTATGCCTGCGAGGCCGTAGATTGACCGCGCTGATGAGAGGGGTAATTGGAGCCAGTTGAGTAGGGTGTGACGGGTGTTGTGGCCTGCAACTGATCTGCGGACGACTGCCTGCTCGTCCCGTGTGAGGGGTTCGATGACTGGTGTGATTGTTGCGAAAGGCGGTACTCTTCCGCATCGACGATGTCGGGGTCTATCTCGTAGTCGCCCTGTCTTGGCGCGAAAAATCCCTTGACGAGGTGACCTTGTGTGATGTGCGGTCCTAGCTTGAGGAGGTTCTTTATGTATTCGTCGAGGTTGGCGCGGCGCCCGTTGGAAATGTTGTCGGTTACGTAGGTGACAGGCCCAGGCATGAAGGGCAGTGTTCGCTCGCCGGAGCCACTTGTGCCCGCTTCGACTGGGTACGTTGCTATCAGCTGTATCTGCAGGTCGTAAAAGTCCTGGTACAGTCGCTGCAACTCCCAGTGTCGGCCGTCCTCCATCTGGCACTCGATGATGAACCAAAAGATATCGTCGGCGAAGCAGTAGCGTGGCACGCATGCCCTAAGGGGTGCAAGCAGGTTGTCGGATGTGCGGTATTGGTTTCTTGGCTGTTGCGCCACGGAGCCGTTGCGTGAGTGGGAGACCTGTACGCTGTCAGCCGAGAAAAGCACACCCGCATGTAGACGACTTACCGAGCCAGCCTTGTTGTGCCCGCCGTTGCTCCGAACGCTCATGCGCTCCATGCCCTGCTGCAGCGATTGTCCAGAATTCGTCTCGAGCTTTCCGAGCGGTATGCTGCCATTCTTGTAGTCGGCCGCCATCTTCTTCCACTCTTCGACCTTGGGGACGCCCGCGGCTGTGACTGCTGCCTGTGTGTCGGCAACGGCCTGACCAGTCGTCATATCGCGGATTTCGATGAAGGATACGGGGATGAGGCCAGGACCGCCGAGTCGCGTTATGGGCTTTGCGACAAACCATTCGGGGTTCGACTGTGCGATG